TATGAGCACAATCTCTGCTGTTATGTGAGAAATTATTTCTGATTTCATTTTTTCCAGATCCTCTTTTGTTGCCAGTTCAGGGAGTCCAGGTGGTTGAATTTCAGAGTGTTCCATCTCATTCCCTTTGGGGTTGCTGTAGATGATCTGGAAGTCTGGTTTTGAGACTTGTTTACGTGTTTTCTCACTTTGACCGGGGGTGGGGGGGTGGGTTGCTTTTGGCGCCCGCGTGGCTCACCTCTGCACTGTGAGCGGTGGAACAGCAGCCTGGAAGCCCCTTCCACTGGGCTGGAAATGGTAGAACGGCCACCCAGAAGCCCCTACCTCTGCGCTGGGAGCAGTGGAAAGGCCGGGAATGCTTTTTCACAAGGAGAATACAGTTGGACTGTGTGTATCGTAGTAGCCCTCTGGAAAATACTAGACATCACCTTTTGTAACTTTGTAGTAAAAACATACTTTCTGTTTCAGTGCCTTAATGTTCCTTTGTGAAACAGTCGTTTTCATAGTTCATTGACAAATAGCTTTTTAAAATCACAATCAGATTACTTCATCGGAGTTTTTGCCATTTAAGATTGAAGTTATTCCCTCTTTTTTACTACTCAATGGACTATGAAGATTGAACTGTTAATCTGTTAAGGTTTATAATTAAAAACATGAGGGTAGCCTCTTCCACATCTGAGCTCCAGGATGTAGTTACCTCCTTTGTGTTCGAAGCTATTATTTTTTAATACTTGTGGTTTTAAGGTCCTACATTCCAGATCATTGAAAAGACCTGAAAGAGACTAATATGTTGATTCTTTAGATAATAGCTCTTCTTTCTGTGCTGTTGGCTACACTGCCTGTGTTCTGTCAGCTTGATGACAGTAATAGTTTCAAATACACTCCCTGCTGTTCTCCTCTTCTCTACCATCTGGGCTTGGGCTTGGATAGGTTTACAACAAGGCAACTTGTTTATCAGGTGGGGTACTCAGTATTTCATGATTTCTGCATCCATCCAGTGAAACAGTTGTCGTGCTTACCATTTCTTGTCTCGTGTTTTGGACAATGGAGATTTGGGCTGTGCAGCCTTTCTTCCCAAGGACTTTTCTTGAAAAAAGCTCTCTGGGAGATTGTGTTTGGTGACCTGGAGAATGTTGATTTTTTTTTATTAACTCATGATAAAGTTAATTTCATTAGTGATAAAGTTTGTTAAAAATGGCTCCAACTTGAAGCAGCTATTGTTGCCATGACAAATATTCCTTGGAACAGTATTCTGCTCTGAAAAAAGGAATAAACCTATTTAATCGATCTTTCCCACCTGCTGCTATGTCAGCAGTACAACATAATTTAGTATGGAATTTTTTTTTTTTGGTACCAGGTATCGAACTTGGGTCTTTGCGCTTGCGCAGCAGACGGCGAAACCACTGAGCTAAATCCCCTGCCCCAGTATGGAATTTTTTAATGAAAAACTGATAGATCCTGTTAAGATGTGATCAGAGTGCTGTTTCCATCTTAGATATCTTTTGCAATATCAATAGAATTGGAGTTTCAAAGATATTAAAAGAATCTGATAAATTTGAATATTTCATGCTTTAAAGTTAATAAACCCCTAAAGCTTCAGGTACTGATATATAATTCTTGAGTTTAAAATGTGATTCTAAAGCATTTTGTATACAAAAAAATTTTGCTACAGAAGTATAAATGATAGTAAAGAAATATTAAAACAATCTAAGTGTTTCAAAATAGGAGACTAAGCTGTGGTAAAGTGTAGGAAAAAACTTGACAGAAGAAATAGTCTTCAAAATGCTCATTGTCTCAGTTTAGATTATTTTTCTAATCTCTATTCTTTCTCCTTAATTTTAACAATTTTTAAAATATTCGTTAGATATGGGAGCAAAATTACATCATAAATCTCTGTAACCTGTTTAGATATGATTTAAAACTATGTGCCATGATATAGTCATTATTTTTTCATTCTTTTTTAAATATCTTTTTAAATACATTGTTTTAGAGGCTGAGATATTGAGCAGTGAATAAAATAGCCTGTGGGGCTTATATTCTAATAAATAGCAAACCTCAAGATGCTTATTAGAATCATACTTTATATTGAATCCACACTCTTTTTGCCAGTTTTAAAGGATCTTGTTCAGTAATTTTAAGGATTTTTAAAATTCATACTTCTATCTTGTAGTAAGTTAGCTCCCTGTCATTTTCATATTAGTTGAAAAAATTTCATAGACATTTCTAATATTTCTCTCAGCATTTATATATGTAATGATAGGGATCCAAAAAGCACATAGCACTTTTCTGTTAACTCAGTTTTTATGTGTTTGTTCCTAATGAAACTTTCAAGTTTCCCTTTATTTTGCTAGCTTTGAATTATGTGACTTTTCTACTTAGCTCTGTTTTTCTTTTGCTAACATGAGAAAAGACAAAGGCTGAGATGGAAAACATTTTATATAAATCTCTCATGGTTCCCCCCACTCTCCTACTCTACACAATTTCCCTTCTTCCTCTGTCTCTCTTCCAGTCATAATGAATGTAGGAGTCAGGTCAGTGCATGGATGCCATGTACACTTTCTCTCTGGGTCTTAAACACTTAGATCCCTACTAAGCCTTTTCACCATGCTAATTCCTTTACTATATTCTGAAGTCACTTAGAAGAAACCTCTCCTGACCTTTCCTACTGAGTGAAACATTTCTTACATGTACTGCCACTCAGTATCATGTTTTTTTCCATCAATAACATTATGTGATATTGTACTTAGCCAGTGGTGGCAAACCTATGGCATGCATCCCTTAGCTGACTGTTATCATTGTAAACTCTTAAGAAGTTCACCATCAGGGCTGGGGATTTAGCTCAGTGGTTCGATCCCCATTACCAAAAAAAAAAAAGTTCACCATCAATGCATTAGACCATAAAAGCAGAGACATATTTACCTTGTTCACCATTTGCTTTCCTATGCCTAGCACAGACCCAGTAGTGCACAGAAAATAAATAATTCTTGAAAGAGTGATGATCTTCATTTGCATGAAAACAGGTGCACAAAAAAGGCATTTAGTTTTTTACTAAAATGGTTAAGAATAAAAATATGCCATGTTAACTTTGAAACGAAAGCTCTTATTTAAAATTTTTTTGTGCTGTGTTATTCTCTCTGAAAGTCTCATTTATGATCTATCATAGGTACCATCAATCTTACAGAACAAGTCCAGTGGGTCAAAGTCAATGCAAACATGACTGGCTATTACATTGTACACTATGAAGATGATGACTGGGCCGCACTCATCCAGCAGTTGAAAAGAAATCCTTATGTCCTGAGTGACAAAGACCGAGCCAACCTCATCAACAACATCTTTGAGCTTGCAGGGTAGAGTATTTTTGGTTTCGGTGGTTGTAGTTCTGTTTTGTTTTTTAGACAAGTGTTATTGATATAAAGAACATTTCAGAAAAACAGTTTGAAAGAACTAGTATGTATAGACTGTTAGGTACAATTCATTTGGATGATTAGGAAAATATAAGACATGCTCTTTGCTTTCTGGGACTTTTAGAAACATCAGCTGGGCATGGTGGCACATGCCTGTAATCCCAGCACTCTGGAGACAAGTTCGAGGCCAGCCTGGGCTACACAGTGAGCTCAAGACCAGCCAGAACTACATAGCAAGACCCTGTCTCAAAAAACAAACAACAAAGAAGCCAGAAACATCAGCTACAAATGTATTGAACAGTTAAATAACATAGAACAAGCAGGGTTACATACTTTGCTGCAAACATTACTTAGGACTTCAAGCTTTGTTTTGTTTTGTGAGAGAATTCTTTTCAAGCAGCAATGAGTCCCGGCATGAAGCTCAGTTCTTACTGGTTGGTTTGACCAACACCTCTGATAGCTGGAGCCTCTTCATCTGCATACTATTTGCCTTCCCAACAGCTTCACACATTATAAAATCACAAAGCCAATAATAGAAGTGGCCTCTTCTAAAGATATGCTCTGAACAGATTACCAGTTAAGGTTGGTAGTAGACCTGGAAGCAGGAGGACCACTCAAGAGGATGCCTTTTGACCACTCTTGACCTTCTCATTTTGGTTGATTTATTGTGAAATGGCCTTCTCATATTGGCCATCATCATTATTATTTCTGTAAAATGGTTAATTTTAAAAATATACACACTAAATTCACAGTGGACATTGTATTTAATAAGTTTGACAAATTCTCATACAACAGTAAAACTTTTTTTCTGATTCAAATACTCTCTATACCATTTCTTTTCCTCTCAATTTAATAAATAGATGTGATACTTTTACTGAATCAGTAGCAACTTACAGGTGACTCATGAAACAGCAAAGTGAGCTATTATGTATCTTTCTCTTGAAGTGAACCTTTAACCTTGGCTTACATGAACTTACAGATAATAGTATCGGGTCTAACTGCAGAATGGCACTCTAAGCTTAAATGTTTTATCTTCAAGACTCACCATCTAGTGATATAGTTTCTAGCATGCCTGGAGTGTTTCTGTGCATCTTAGCATATTCACTTTTCCTTTCTTTTATCCTTTAGCCTAGGCAAGATGCCTCTGCAGAGGGCCTTTGATTTGATTGATTACCTTAGAAATGAGAATCATTCTGCACCCATCATTGAAGCCCTGTTCCAGACAGGCCTCATCTTTCACCTCCTTGAAAAACTGGGGCACATGGATCTGGCCTCAAGACTGGTGGTAAGTCTGCCTTTGTTACCTGTCTTTAATATTGATATACAAAATTCACTCAGTGGGCTGAAAAAGCAACCACTTAAATTCCATTTTCTTCACTGTGCTGATTGTGAAATCTTTACTTTGAATCAAAATGTTATTGCTTACCATGATAAAGGCTTAGTAGGAAGTAGTCTTACTTGAATGTCAGACTACAGACTTTTGGCACTGCTGTCAAAACAGGGCACATAAAAAGCAAATTTCTCTATTTGAGATTTTTTCTTTTATATAATAAATGTTTTATATAGGCCCTTTTGCAAAGTAGGTTTCTCCATTAATCTACTAGTGGTCATTATAATTATGTTTGCACTAAGAATATCCTTCTCAGGAGTCTGGCCAACTACTCTCCAATGGGTAAGAGTATCTCACCAAGCACTAAGGGAGCCTTGTTATTGGAGACTTTACCTTTGTTAGATCTGATCTCCTGATCATAACAGTTGTTATTTAGACACTTGCAGTATTAAATTACTTATTGAGTCTTTAAAGCTAGGAATGGTAATGATAAATTCTTTTTACCTAGTTCTCTCAATCAGCATATTATGGCAGCCAGGCTTGCTTTTAAAATCAGGTTTTCCAGGAACTCAGGCAGAAGGCAGATTTTGGGAAAAGGAAGAAAATATTGGATCAGGAATTAGAGTAAGTCTTTTAGGGTTTTGGTATCTTCATTGGTAAAGAAAGGGATTGGATTAAATCATTTTTAAAACAACCTCTTTTCTGCCTTTATTGCTGACCTACTACAAGTCTTCTGTGATGAGTTCTTTGTCATTTTCAGAGGAGAGAGAACGCAGGGCAAGGGGCAAGAGCACCCCCCCACACACAGGCACACAAGCTTCTGATTTGACTCCAAAGGAGGAACCCCATCCCTACTCATGCTTAAGTAGGATGACTTCTGAGCCTGCTTCTAATGTTAAGATTTTTACTATTTTCTGTTTCATAAGGCTTTCAACCAGCAGCCCTGGGAGAAACCAGTACTTGGAACATGACCTGACTCACAGTGACCTTCAGTAAATGTCGAGTGAAATATACTAGAAACAAATGCATCTGAGTGCTTAGTATATTCTACACACTCTTGCTTAGTGTTTAGTGTAGATTACTTCATTTAATCCTTCACATTGCCAATATAGACATTTCTACCCCCATTAGATAAATGAAGATACTAAGTCACTTCCCCCAAAGTCACTTAGCTAGTAAATTATAAAACTGAGATTCAAACCCAGATTAGTTTCACTGCAAAGCCTACTCTCTATGATATGTTGTCATATTTTAAATTATTGTAATTTGTATTCTATCAATGGCATCTTTCCAGGATACCTTTTGGTTAAAAAAATTAAAGCTTTCCTTCTTGTTACCATTTTTTTCTTTTTAAAGCTGAGATTTTACATTAAAGCAGTTTGAAAAGCTTTGTAGACCATGTATTTAAGGTTTTAAAGGACAAACACCCATCTAGTTATTTACTTGAAAATGAAGTTGTCAGCTTGTGAGATTTTTTTATATTTAAAATGTTACTAACAATATTTTTTATAGTATTTTGTGTGCGTTAGCAAAAACAAATATGCAGAGTATTTGCTAGTCTCTTTAAGGCAAACTTAGACTCCAGCATAGACTTTCTGTTGCTGGTATGTAAGGAGATTGGCCATTTGTTAACCAGTTCAGCTGCTTCTGGTGGGGCTTATGGATTTTTTTGTGTTTTGGAGCTATAGTAACACCATTATAAATATTCTTGTTTATGAATATCTATATGAATATTTGTACAGTATAATTTGGAAATGAAGTTGTTACTTTATAACGTGCATAGTACTGTACTATCAAATAGTTTTTATAGTTGTACCAATTTACATTCCCATTATCAGTGTCTACAAAGTCTAGGTGCTCTATATCCTTGCCATTGCTTACTACTCATAATAAAACATTTATCCTGGGCCGGAGATTTAGCTCAGTGGTTCTGCCACCTGCCTGGTAAGTGAAAGATCCCAAGTTCAATCACCAGTACACCCCCAAAAAGACAAAAAACATTTTTTCCTTTTAGTCATTTGGAGGCTGTATCAGTTTTGGCAACAAATACGCATTTCTCTGCTGGCTAATGAGGATTAGTTTTTTAATCTTTATTGACCATTTTATTGTTTATTGAGTATTAGGGTGTCTCTTTATCAATTGCCTTAGTCTTTTATTCTTCTAGTAAACTGCCTGCCTTTGTCTTATTGATGTAGAAGAGTTCTTATATATCCTAGATAGGAATCTTTTGTTGGTCATATATATTTGCAAATATCTTTTCACTCTTTTAATGATATTTTTGATCAATAGAAATTCTTAATTTTAATGTACTTTAATGTATGAAATCTTTGCCTTCACTAAAATATTCTGTATTTACTTCTGAAAATTTATTTTACGTTTTACATTTAGACCTGTGATGGATCTGAAATTGACTTTTTAATATGATGTATGGTAGACATCAAGATTCATTATTTTCAGCATGGGTAGCTAGTTAATCCAGCACCAGTATATTTGGTGTGGGGGTGTGTGTGCGCGTGTGCATTCACACGTGGGTTAATTATAGAATGTCTTTGGAGGCCATTAATGTCATATCAAATTAATACCAATTGAGGTAGTATATTAGTTTACTAGAGCCTCTATAATAAACTATTACCAAATTCCATGTTTAAATATAACAGAAGTTGGGCTGGGGATTTAGCTTAGTGGTTTCGCCGCCTGCTGCGCAAGCTAAAGGACCCGAGTTCGATCCCTGGTACCACCCCCCCCAAAAAAAAAAATATAACAGAAGTCTATTCTGTGGCAGTTGCGGAGGTTAGAAGGCCAAAATCAAGGTGTTGGCAGGATAGTTTGTATCTTCTAAAGTGAAATCTATTCCTTGCCTCTCTCTTAGCTTCAGGAGGTTGCCAACAATCTTTTGCATCCCCTGGCTTATAGATACATCACTCCAGACCTTCCTCTGTCAACAAGACATTCTCCCTGTGCTTCTGGGTCTCAAATTTCTCAGTTCTTCTGAGCATACCAGTCATTAGATTGGAGCCTTGTGTAACCCAGATCTCATTTTAACTTGATTATATCTACAAAGATATTTCCTCAATAAGATTATATTTGCAGATTCTAGGTAAACATGTATGGAGGGGGCTTTATCAACCCAGTACAGGTAGCAGTAAATAAGGTTAGTACACACCATTCTTTTTTCCTGCTATTGGATGGTGTTGTGTTTGAAAGTACCCTAAGTGAAGGCACAGTGTCTGCCTACTCACAAGTTCAGCAGCTAGTTTAATTTCATGCCAGAAGCCATCCCCCCCCCATTAACTCTGTTTAGATCTTAGTCTCAGATACACACCTCAAACTAGTCTATGCTGAAAACACAGATGTTAAACTCAGTTCAAAGAATTGAGTTCTCTTGGCACTCAAGTAACTCTTCTTCCTCCCATACCTTCATCCTGGATGATTTCCAGTTTTCTGGCCAGGCATGTTTTATTAGGAGCAGTATGCTCCTAATGTACTACACACTGCAGGATGGGATCTAGGGGACTGATGAATTAAGGCCAAGAGAGAGAGGCTTAATGTGTGTTTCTAAAATCAAGGGCTCGTTCACTGCTGTCAATCTTCATATTGCTAGCTAAAAGCCAAATTGGCTTCAGTTCATCAAGAGGGAGAAGCTATTTCTTTAAAGTTCTTATTCTACTTTTAGGGCATTCTGGTAGTATCCAAATACACTATAAAACCTGACACTATGATTTGGAATTGAGATGGCAGACATTTTCTGAGTATTAGTGTTTAAGATAATCAAATTTCATGATATGGTACCCAGAGCATTGTGTACATTTATTGCTAATTTTGTTATGTGACTGCACATGATGTATGGTGCATTTTGTGATGTATGCCATGGTGTTGTGGTGAATGGGTGTGGGGGCACATTTGAACTGTGTTAAATTGTTCACAGCTGATGTTAATGTCTGATCTAGCCCTATTCCCGTTTTATCACTTACAAATCTGTCACTCTCGTGCATGTGAGGCATTGGTGAGATAAACCTTTTGCAATAAAAACTGGCATATCACTTTAAAGAAACTCAGTTGACCCAGGAAAGAACTCCCTGGGTGTATCAGTGTAAAATTAAAGCAGTAAATCAAAATGTAATATATAACACAAGTCCCAACATTTTTTCTTGTCTGTTTATTTTTAAAACCATTTTGTGTTATTGTTGCATTTTATGGCATATTCAGTGTTTGTAGCTTATATAATCTGTTCATCTGTTCTCTCTCCATATTTGCGGTTTTTATTTATTAAATCATAAAGTTAGATTCTATTGTTTAATGAGATTAAATTTTAAAAATTAACTTGGAAACTATAGAAAAACAGATTACATTTTATTTCTGAAAGGGAAAGATAATTTTTAGGACTAGCTGCCATTCTTCATCAATGTTAACATTAAAAATATAACTTAAATTACATATTAAAATGATTATATTATGTAACAGCACAATTTTTCCAAAAAAACATTTATTTTTTCAATAAAATTTTTATTAAAATTTGAAATTATTTAAAACCAGCTGTTTGGGGAATTTCTTTTAATGATTTTATATAGAAACTAGCAGAATTGCACCCTGAAATTCCAGCGGTATAACGGTGTCATATAAGGAATTAGCCATAGCATCATCAAGAATCAGGGTTTTTTGCTTCTAGTACTTTAAAGTGCTATTTTTTTTCCCACTAGCTCCCTTGTGTTTTTGTAAACTCTCAATGAGCCTTATCTTGGTTCTCCACTGAGTTTTTAGAAATATAAAATTTTAAAGATGTAACTTTTCCCTCCTTATATTCTTTGTTTCTACTTGAAGTTATGAGTAGCTTTGAAGTTTCTTTTATTCTTTCATCATTTGGGACAGTTTGTATGACCATGCTTTTGAAAGGTCAGCCAGTTGAAGACAGCATGTACTCACACTCAGGTGTATCTAGTGGGGTCTGCTAAATTGCTTTTGTGTTCCTCGCATTATCAATCAGCAGGGCAAGTATTTTTCCACCTCATGTCCTCCCAGTAAGTCGCAAGCTTTACCACTCATGTGTTCTTCAAGGTGCTTGTTCTCTGCTGCATTGCTTCAGAAACCAACAGAAGCAGGTTGACATATTATCACAAACTTTGAGTCCTTCTTGCACAGACTCTTTTTTTCCATTCTTCTGTTCAGCTCAAGAGACTGGTTCACAGGTTATTCAGAGAAGATCTGCTGATAACAAGGCCTAAACAGTTTAAAACGCCCCAAATAAGATTGATCTCAGGTGTTGACAATGGAGAGAGATTAAAACATTGATTTCTGATTCCTTAATACAAGTATACTTTTTGCAGTTACATCCTATTCAGAAGTAGCTATAGCAATGGGCTAAGGCAGTAGATGATATTACTGAATAATTATCTATTTTCTTAAGTATGATGTTATTTTAATTATGTAGGAGGATGTTCTTATTTCTGGTAGTTGCAAACTAAAAAGTATTTATAAATTAAGATAACTGGCTTGTATGTTTCAGCTAAGACTAGAAAGTATGTAGGTATAGTGTTATATACAGAAACAAAGTAAATGAAAGGATGCAAAAACTTATAAATCTAGATGAACAGCATGTGGATATTCACTATTATTGCATTTTTTATAGGTTTAAAAATGTTACATTAAAAAGTTGGGAGAAATGGACTATGATCAACTATTATATCCTGCAGCCCTCATTTTTTTTTTCCTAATTTGGTTAGATTAATTTGCAACATCAAACTAGTTGATATATTAATATAGTTTTATTTCAGAAACTTTTAAACATCAGCCATCAGTAAAGAAGTATATTTTTCCTTTTGCTTAATGAGTTTATGGATTCTAAAGTCATAGGATCAGAAAATTCCACCTTCCTTCCAGCAGAGGTTATAGGTAATACTTTTTGACAGGAAAATAATTTCTAGTATATATAGCATAATATTTCTCTGCTCTGTTAATGCTTTCTGAGTTGTATCCTTGAAAGCCTTAGGTGGCTATAACTAACCTTATGTATAGCCTTTTTCTGTTGAATGGTCTTATTCCAGCTATATATGGTTTTCATGGGTCAGTTGATATTTAATGAATAATACTTATGCCTTTTTTTCCTTAGGAAAAGAGATATACTTGTCCAGATTTTTCCAGTTGTCCAAATTACCATTAGCATATTATAATCGATTTGTCTCTGTAGGCCAGGGTACATAAGTTGCTTCAAAACCAAATCCAACAACAAACTTGGACTGATGAGGGCACACCATCCACGCGAGAACTTCGCACAGTCTTGCTGGAATTTGCTTGCACCCACAACCTGGAGAACTGCAGCACTGCTGCCATGAAGCTGTTTGATGAGTGGATGGCATCTAACGGAACTCAAAGGTGAATTATGCATCTGCTCAAATCAGTTCCCTTCTTCCTGTTCATCTCACATCATGTGCTGAAACCAGGACCTGCTCATCCTGGACCATGAATGTAACAAAACTGAATGTTAATATAGATGCAATCTGTGTATCTGTGTTACCAAACAAGACTTTAAAAATAATTGTGGTCAGGCTAGGGATTTAGTGCAGTGGTTCCGCTGCCTGCTTCACAAGCACAAGGTCTCAAGTTCGATCCCCGGTACCAAAAAAAAACTGTGGTCAAATACACATAAAATTTACCATCATAACCATTGTTTAGTGTACAGTAGTGCTAAGTATATCATGTTGAATGCACCAGTGTCCAGAACTGTTTTTCTCTTGCAAACTGCAATTCTGTACCCATTAAACAACTTCACAGTCCCTCATCCCCATAGCTCCTGGTAAGAATATTCTACTTTCTGTTCTCTGAATTTGAGTATGCTAAATACTCCATGAAACTATACAGTATCTTTTTGTCTTTTGGAGACCCTACTTTCAATTCTTTTAGGGGGGGATACATGGGGGGAAAGAACCAAAAAAATGTAAAATGTATACATCAGGAAAAGAAAAACTTGTATAAGTATTTTAATATTAAATTTATGGAGACATCATGAGATTAATACAAGTTACCTTTGGCCTCTACTATTACAAGAGGTGCTTGAAGTGGCCATTAGCTTCCAGACTTAGTACGGCAAACTGCTCAAGTATGCATACATTCTGCACATTATGGAGTGAAGATTTAAATGTCAGATGGAAAATTTGAAGATTTTCCCTAAAATCTGAATGAAGACAGTAGACTCTGCTCACCTCATGCCCCACACATTTCCTGCTGTATTCATACCATGGAACTTACCACATTGTATTGTACTCTGTATATTTGTTCTTGCCCTGTATTTGGTGGTAACCCGTGAGTTCCTGGGAGCATGGACAATATCTCATTCTCTTTCCCTTCCCTAGTATACAGCAAATTGCCTGCCTGTTTTTTGTTTTGTTTGTTGTTGTTGTATGTTTAGACAGGATCTCACTGTGTAGCTTACATTTGCTTTAGCACTTACTATGTAGCTCCAGGCAGGCCTCAAACTCATAGTCCCCCTGGCATTCCCAGTGCTGAGATTACAAGCATGTGTCAGCAAACCCAGCTGCCTGCCTGGTTCTTTGTGATAGTTCAGTGCATAAAAGAAAAGTTACAGTCATTGAATTCACTTTTTTTGACTCCTGAGTAATTAAGACTTTTATAATTATCACCTATCCTGACTCCCAAAACACCACCACCCATCAGCTCCTTGCCTTTGTATTCACAATTTTTCTTGTTCTCATGTTTTCCCATCTCTTTTCTAGCCTGCCTACTGATGTTATGACACCTGTGTTCAAAGTTGGCGCAAAAACTGATACAGGCTGGTTATTCCTCTTAAGCAAGTATGTTTCTGTAAGCTCTGAAGCCGAGAAAAACAAAATACTTGAAGCTCTTGCCAGTTCAGCGGATACACGGAGACTTTACTGGTATGCAACCACACAAGGATATGTATAGAAACCAAAAGATAAAGCACTTTGCTCCTAGGGTGGGAGCACTTTTTATTTGAGATCTCCGTTTTCCTCCTGTTTTGTCATAAGCTAGACCTAACTTAGTGTGACAAGGAGCCTGCATATGCTGGGCGTCATTTTAGGGATTTAACCTTTACAGATGGGCAGAATACGCTTTGGAATCACAGTCTCCCCCTACTCCCACTCAAAAATGTCTTTATCTTCTTCACATGTTATGTTCAACTCCACAGTTAGTACTTCATTCTTTTGGACCAAAGTATTGCTCTGTTCCAGTTGTCACTTTGAAAATGCAGATAGTTCAGAAAAGATTAATATGAAGAAGCTTGCATGTTTTACCTTCGTATGAATTTGTCATACTTTCCCATTTTAATGTCCAGCTGATAACAGCCTGGACATAGGATTTTTACATGAGTGAAAGAAGGGCAGTAATGAGGACCTCATCAGAAAGTGGCAGGGTAGAGGAGCTCTAGATAGCCAAGAGGAAAATGAAGGTGTCTGGAGCTTAGCGGACTGGGGTTGAAATTCACCCCACGAAGAATAAAGGGAGGCACCTGGGGCTTATTGCTGCTTCTATGTAATTTTGCTCAGGTAAATGCTAATTGTGTCCCGGAGACATTCTCAGCACCTTCCCCGACCCACTTTCTCAGTGATACACTTTAAATAGGCATTTTCTTTACAGCAGAGGCCAGCCTCTGATCTACGCAAATAGACACAAGCATTTTGAGTAAAGGATATTAGTCTGCATGTACATACATGCATGCATGCATAGATTTATCCTATACCAGTGTTTTATAGCATTATTTCTAGTGGATGATCAGTCTTTGAGATTTTCCAAGTCACTTCATAAAGCCTACTTCATTTATTTTTATTTCTGCACAGTATTTTAAAGTATAGCTCTCTCATCACATCTTCTCAGGCATTTGATTTTTTTCCTCCCTAAAAATGTTAGCACATTGTTTTTGAGATGTGCATTTTCCCCAGTATAAGTGGATAGTATAGTATAGTAGATAACAACTGCATACATTCAGGTGCCAGACTTCAGTATTTATTGGCTGTGAACTGTGAGACAATTACACAACCTTAAGTTTCTTCAACTTTTATAAAATGGAGATAGGTAATAAATGCTTACTTCAGGGTCTGTTGTTTCTAAAACTTAACAGCATTATTTAGCACACAGTATCAATAAATACTATTACTAAAAATCTATTCTGAAATGTATCTTCATTGTCTAACCATTTAAATAGCCCAGTCTTTTAAGAGTAGTTATGTACTTCCCTATTCAAATGTGGTTTCTACCAGGAAAAAACTCACAAATCTCCAGAATTGTAATAAATTCTACCAGAGTTTGTTTCCTGAATGTCCTTACTATGTCAGAAACTATTATTATGTGACTGTATATGTAAATGCCTATCTTGTTGAGTTCTTCCTTCACTTAAAAAAATAAATGAATAAAATGACAAGTTTGCAACCAATAGATCACTCTTAAACTAAGCCAGTACTAATTTCAGTCATCGCTTCTTCATGAATAATTATTTTGGAGGCTAAATCTGTTTGCTTTTCAGGTTAATGAAAAGTAGCCTTGAGGGAGATACCATCCGAACACAGAAGTTGTCATTTATCATTAGGACAGTGGGCCGAGGTTTTTCTGGACACTTGTTGGCGTGGGATTTTGTCAAAGAAAACTGGGATAAACTTGTACAGAAGTAAGTTTCTGAGAGAATGACTTTTAGTGTTCTGAATTTGGAAAAGCAGTGCACAGCAGTGTTCCGGTGCTGCACATTTGGAAAAAGCCCCCAGTGTTGTGTTGGTTCACAGAAGTGATGTATTTGCTCAGAAAGAAAAAAATGCCTTTTTTTTCAACATAACTGAAGCACCCAGAATTTTTTTTACATTTATAAACATAATTCCAAAGCCTAGGTCACTTACCAGTGGTGTTCCATTAAAGTGCTAATCCAGGCCAGCCTTGCCCGCCCAACGCCAGACCACTCAGCACCACGTGGCCACAGACATCGGAACAGCTGTTTCGTTACACATGCTGAAAATGGCTCTTCATTGCCAGGCATCATTTAGAACTCACACCTCACATCATTTAGAGCTGGACAGCACATAGGTTTCTTTCCCTTTCTATCTTTTAAAGCACATATGATATTTGTGGATGATGTGGTCTTTGAGAAGATCAAATGCATTAAAAATCTGTATGTCTATCCCAAACAACACCACCAGCACCCCTGTCTGCCCATCTTTCCATCCTAACAGTAGGTGTAGTGCAGCGGTGGTGAACCTATGGCACACATGGCACAGCCCGCTGTTTGTTATTATTGAAAGCTCTGAAAGATTCACCATCACTGGTGTAGTGTATGTGGATAACCGTGACAGCCCGGGCCGTAGTTACCAGGAGTAGGACTCCACCTTGCCTTTGGCATTAAAGTATTTGCTTTGCATTCAGAAACTGCTTTGCTGACCAGCAGCTGCTTCATTTTTTCTTCCTTATATTGTGTTTTCTCAGGTTCCATCTTGGGTCCTATACCATACAAAATATTGTTGCTGGATCAACTCACCTGTTTTCAACAAAGGCACATTTTTCTGAGGTCGGTGATATAAAATGCTTGTAGATAACTAGATAATTCTTTCCCCTTAGGCTTTTCAGTTTAAATGAGATGGTGGCTTCTCATCATAATTCCTGTCTCTTCTCTCTGGCTGCCTTCATCAGTACTAAGGATTCTGTATTGAGATTACTTTTCAAAGGCTGGGTATGTGGCAAGGCGGAAGAACCCTGATTGCACTCCCAGCACTATTTCCTTGTCTCCCCGATACTAGTAATTTAAGTAATAATAAAATTCAAAGACTAAATTTATAGTACCAGGCCTATTCAGAGTCTACTGATTTATTGTTTCTTGAACATTACTGTTCTATTTTAAGTTAGAAAAATTTCTCCTTGTGAAGGTAAGGAAAATGTATTTTTAAAATCACTTCAGATGTTACCCATGCTTGATTGAGAAGTCCAAATAGGTATCGTGGATGTTAAAGTAATTTTTACTGCTTTCAATATGTCAAAATGGCCATCGTAAGTTAAAGCTTATTTTAGAAGGATGAACAGAGTTACTTGAGTTTACAGTTCCTTTCTCCTTTTAAAATGCTTCTATGTGGAACTTACAGGTCCAGACATTTTTTGAAAATCAGTCAGAGGCAACCTTTCGACTTCGGTGTGTCCAGGAGGCTTTGGAAATCATTCAGTTGAATATCCAGTGGATGGAGCACAACCTGAAAACTCTGACATGGTGGCTATAGCATGCAAACTGCACCTCATTCTGTCACCCATTCAGAGAGCTTGTGAACTTGGGCTCTGCTGCTTTTGCAAAAACTGAGGTGAATCCGGGGTGGCTTCCAGATTGTTTGCACTCTTAGGAGTTCTTGTTAGCTCAGGGCCCAACTGTGTTTTTCATCTGTCTTTTCTGAAATGTCCTTAAGCAGTGTGTATTTATTACATTATATTCATCTGTATGCCAGTCATCTACAAAATCAATATTTTTTCTAATTTGAGGATATACCAATGGGGGAAACTAGTTTGGGAACTCTTCTATTTCTCAGGATCTGGAAGTTACCCACACAGTGAAACAAGGAAAGGGCTACCACAACAGCCACCATCCTTGCAGGCTGCTGATTTGTTAGCTGTTTCTTGCTTCTTGTTAGTAGATGCTATTGGAATGTGGTACAAATTTAGCCTCGAAGAGTACAGGAATGAAGACATTGAAACATCTAGCTGTAGAGAACTGATCTCAGGTGTGCAAATCTACTTGCATTTGGGGTTTTGAGTAATTCTTTATTTTCTGAGAAAAATTTAAATAATACCTGTAACAATTCTATTTTTTCCTGCAGAATAGCCAGGTGCTACAGAATTTTTAAATTTTTTGTTGTATTGAATAGCTAAATAAGCAGGCCAAAAAGTTAAATTGTGCAAATGCTTAACACTTTCTGGTTTATCTTGTGTAAATGCTTAACACTTTCTGGTTTATCTTGTGTAGTATTACCACAGGAGACTATTCCAGACTGAGTTAATTGTAATTTTTTCTTCATAAATGCCAGTATCCCCCAGGTCTACACAGTTATCACTCCTGCCCTGGATTGACTTTATGTTATAGATAAGTATTTCTGTATTTGTGGTAAACATTGTGTCAGTGCTGGAATATTTTGTCACAGCCTTTTGTCTTCATGGATTGTAGACACTTTTGCTCCCAATCATACCCTTCTGAGGATTTTCATTTTATATGATACAGTGGCATATTAGAAGCATATTTTAAAATAGGGCCTTCGAGAAATTACAGATTTTTATTTGAAGTTCACCATAGTACCTTAAAGGAACAAAGGAGAATGTGGGATAGGAGTAAGTTGAATTCACGTTTAATATGGTGGGCTCTGAATTTTTCCACTATTAAAAATGTACTTTTCTTTGGTTGAAAAAAAAAATCATACTCTTTCTTTTATTGAGGCCAAACTAGCATTACATGGAGTGGCCAAAAGAAAGAAAGACGGAAAAATGAGAGAAAATATCCAAAATTAAATGGCATTTTTATTCCTTCTGAAGGAGAAATACTGTACTTGAATTTTTTGAGCTATGCAGACCTATATCTAGGGTGTTGTGTTTCTTTGTTTCTTAGGAGAGACATTTTCTTTCTAATAACTCTTGAGAACTTTATATTTTGTTTGAAACAGTGTGTGTGTACATAAAAATGGGAGTTACTCATTTATGAGCACTTAAAACACTCCACAGAGTCAGACAGTGGAAAAGGTCAACTTTTTTTATTCAGCAGATGTAAAGTTAGAATATGTGGGGTTGTGTATAAAATTCTATTTTATTTTATGAAAATATTTTTATATAACAAAATTTAAAAGGCTATCAAACTAAAAGCCTGCTTTAATCCTAGTGAGTTTTTCCCCAGCATAGTCTTTTCTAAACATTTGTTCCTCTGTTTTTGTGTAGAAAATATATCTTGAGAATCACAGAATCATCTTTAGACATTGAAACTGAGATGATAGAAGATCTTTATTCCTCTTATGCTTTGGTAAATGAATGATAATTAAATAGATATTGAAAGTTAGTGTGATTTTGTATTTTCTGAGTAAGAAATACTAAGCTTTTGAGGGTTTTTTGTGTTGTTGCTTTTTTTAACCATGTTGTATTACTAAATTCCACTTTAATACAGAATTTAAAGTTGGCTAACTTCTCAAAATCAATTACGATTCTTCATTTTTATCTACCCATCTTTACATTACTCTAAAATATGTTAACTCTGCATATGGCAAATCTTGTCTTAAATTATATAGTTTTTTTCTGTATGAGAGGAAGAGAGAGAGAGAGAGAGAGAGAGTGTGTGTGTGTGTGTGTGTGTGTGTGTGTGTGTGTAATGGGGTGTTGTAAGTAAAGCTTTATGAAAACATGAGCTAAAAGGTAACTCATGATCCATTGCTATCTTTATACTCAAAGGCTGTTCATTCCTGTGATACTGGATAGGTAATTGCCATTTTATTTGTAACTTTCCCTCAATTATTTTTAGTTTTAGTAGCCCTGACCTAAATTTTTTCCACACACAGTTAGTTCCATGTTTAATATTATCCTGACCCATGTATACAGGATGTCTTGGAACTAACTTTTAGGTCAGGAATATAAAGTTAAATAAAAGGTAGAACTTATAATAACTGTATTAGTAGTTTTTATATTTTTTTCTCCAAAACTGTATCTTGTGCATAGGTTTGTGGGAACTCAGATTGAAGCACAGAAGTCACAGTATGCTTTTTATATAAGCACACAGATTCCTGCTGCAGTTGAGAACTTGAATATAGTACTTGAATAAATTTTCTGTTCATTGCAGAGAAATAGTCTACAACATGAATATAATATAAAAGTTACATCATAGATTATTAAGAAGGACTGAATTGGAAATCTAGAGTTACAGAAGGAAAATTTATGCTTTGGAGATTTGAAAGGTTAAGTTGGAGGAGTCCAGTTTGTTCTTTTAAAATGAAAACAATTAGATATATTAATCTGTAAGTAGTGGCAGCTTCCACTATAAGCTTGTGCCTTAATCTTGTTGTTTTATTTAAGTCTCTTCAAATGAAATTGTGCTGTCATTGTTTCAGTATACAAACTTTCTGTCGTGCATTCTACTTTATTCTAATTTTTCTTTGACATATCTGTTTTCATTTTATGGGACTTTAGCTACTATAAGAACAAAGGAGCTGTCAGAAGAGTCCCAGGTGTAGGGAGCAAATCAAGCTGCTTCAGTGTGACTGGCTACCAGATAGAATCCTTTCTGAATACATATTGGGAAGTAAGAAATTAAAATTAAGTACTCAGCTTGTTACATTATTGATAGCCTGTTACTGAATTGGGTCTTAAAAGAGTGTATGCAGCTTTACAGCATCTGGAACCATACTCCACAGTCAGGTCGCTGAACATTTCCATAATGGCCATGCGTGCCATGGCGCTGTAGGAAAGGTATAATGCATCTCAGATGTGTTGTCACCAAGGATAGCAGTTCCTGGGTTGAATTGCAAAACTAGAGCTAGGTTTTATTACATAGGCCTATGTAGGAACTAGGGTCGTATATCAGGTGCGCCTCTTCTCACTGTTGCCTTTGTTACTTAAGTTTTTATTGGAATTGACTCACTTTTTTAAAAACTTCCACCTCCCATTTGTATATTTTTTAACTAAGGAGTATATTTTTGCAGGATTTTGGTTCTTTTATTTTGTGCTTCCTTGTCTGCATTGGCAAGTACCAAATGAAAAGTGGAGGTTCAAAAGTATGATAAATCTCCTCCCCTTCCCTAGTTGCTCACATGGGCAATACTAGTAGAACAGTTGAGTAATTTTTTTTTATTATTGTTTCCTGGTGGGGGGGATTTTTTTAAATGTGTGTACTTAGTTTTAGATGTTTTTATAATTATTTTATATATTTTATCCTAGTAAGTGAAATACTGTCCAATGAAGATCCCCTTTCCATGTCACCTGTTACAGGCAATGGCTACAGAGTAGTTACAGTATTTGTTTCCCTTTTTGGGGAAGGAGGCGATTGTGTTGGGAAGACAGCTTATTTTAAAAGTTGTAGGAATGATTTTGCTGCTATTTTGTGAGTGTTATTTCATTCTGCTCTTCATTCATCCCTCTTGTGGGCATGTATATAAACCATGGCAGTCTGCAGGTATGGCCTTGTCCTGTTCGCTTCTCCTCTTCCCGCCTGCATGGACAACTAACAAAGGAGTCACAGTAGCTATTGTTTTGATCTAGTCTGAGGAACCAGATTGTCTGTCTTTTCACGTGTATATAAATGTTCTGCCACTTTTTAATGTTTCATTTTCTCGTTTCTTTGCATGGATGCATGGATGCTTGATGAAAACTGAGGTTCAGAGTATGACGCATCTCTTTTCCTTTATTGCCTCTTTAGGCAGTAGCGAATAGATCAGTTTTGTTTGGGGTGTGGGAGAGAGTGGGGTGTATATAAATATGTATAAGTATATATAAATACACTCGCTGTTACGTTTTGTCCTAATTCCTGTTGTGCTGTGTCCCTCTCATGGCTGTGAAAGTGCCTAGCGGAATGTGGAGGTCTGGATGGGTGGCGGCCCCTGTCTCCTCCCCACCTCTGTTGCCTTTGGGCAGTGGAGTCTTCGATAGAGTTGTAAAGAGTGTAGGGTGTTTGGGGAAGAGAAGGGGCAAGCAGGAAAGTGCACTCAATGTGTGTATATATGTACGTATGTGTTCTTAGTACTATATTGTATTAATTCTTTGGGTACCCAGACTGGAAGGTACCTCATGAACCAGAGTTCGGATGTATAACAGTCTCCTCTTCTCCCTTTCCCTTATTGCCTGTTTGGGCAATACCTTTTAGAGTAGCTCAAGATTTTTTAAAGTTTCTTGCCACAGTAAAAAAAGTGGTTTCAGAGTAAGAGTATATACTTTTAAAATGTATATAAATGTTTTTATAGGTTTTTTTCACTTCATATCTGTCCTTTACATGGATATATGAAGAAAATTGAGGATCATTCTATGACAAGTCTCCTCTTCCTCTTCCCTATACTGCCTGTGTGGGCAGTGTCTAGTAGAGTAGTTCATAGTTGCAGGGATTCTATGGTATCGGGGTATATGCTTTTTTAAATGTATGTGTATGTTTTTGCTGCTCTGTTAGGTATTTCATTGGGTGCCAGTCCTTCACTTGGACATGTGGGTTCCTAACGAACCGTGGAGTTCTGGATGTGTAGCAGTCTCCTCGTCTGCCTTTTCTTTTTGATCTGTGTGAGCAATAATTTTTAAATACTTTGAGGTTTTTTAAGATTTGGGGGTGGGAGGGGGCTAATGAAAGTAAGGATATGTACATTTTTTAAAAATTTGTATAGTTATTTTTTAACTAGTTATTTCATTATGTACCAAGTCCTTTGCATGGACATAGAGGTACCTACTGAAACATGGAGGTCCGGATGTATGAAAATCTCCTCTTTTCCCCTTTCCTTATTGCCTCTGTGGGCAATAGTTGTAGTGTAGCATAGATTTTTTTAACTCCACTCAGAAGGATGGGGTGTGTACTTTTATATCTGTATATAAATATGTTTGCTCCTTTTTTCTGGCACTTCATTTTGTCCCTAGACCTTTCTATGGGCACTTAGGACATAATGAAAATTAAGGTTCATTCTATGAAAAAAGAATCCCACTTTTCCCCTTCCCTTATTGCCTGCCTGGGCAATGACTAACTAGTAAAGTAGTTGTTTGAGTTTCTTTGACAAGTATGGGGGTGGGAGATCTGGGGTTTGTGTTTTTTTAAAATGTATATAAAAGTTAGTTACTTTTTTCATTCTTTTACTCCCAACCAAGTTTTTGTTTGGACTTTTAGGTATCGAATGTTATGAGAGGCTCACAGCCAGAGGTGTGGGCCATCTTTTTTCTCTTGCCCTGTCCACTGGGTTCATAAAGTATAGTGTATGGTTACTGCAGGGCTGGGTTTGTGTTTTTAGTTTTTGTGGTTTTTGTAATGGGGACTAGCCTTGTTAGAAAATATTTATATTTCATTACATATATATTCAACTAAAGTTGTGTGTAAATGTTTTTGCCCTTTTTGGGCATTAACTTCCTTTTGAATTTGGTCCTTTCATGACTATTTAGGTAGTTAATGAACATTGAGATTGACTCTATGAAAAATCTCCTATACTCCCCATTCCTAATTGCCTGGAGGGCAATGATAGAATAGATGTCTGGTTTCTTTTTGGGATGCAGGGTGGATGTATACATATATATCTTTTAATGTATATAAATATTTTCTAGGTTCTCTGTGTAATCTCTGGCAGTGCTCAGTCCTTTGCTGGGACTTGTAGATATATAATGAAATATGGCGGTCCAGACGTATGATAACTCTCCTCTGCTCCCCTTCCCTCATTGCCTATAGGGGCAATCATTTTATAATTTGGGATTATTTTGTGTGGGGAGGGATCTTGGGGTGGGTAATGGTTAGGGGAAAGAGACAGGGCATATACTCCTTTTAAAATGTATGTAAATATCTTTGTCTTATTGATTGGGTACTCAGTCCTTTGCATGGATGTAGAGGTACCCAGTGAAAATCGAGGATCAGTGTATGACAAATCTCCCATTCTCCCCTTCCCCTGATTGCCTGTGTAGGCAATAGTAGAATAGTTGTCTGTTGTTTACTTGTTTGTTTTGGAAGGATTTATATTTTTGGTATTCTGAATAAGTGCAAATATATTTTCATTTCCTTGTTTCATTTTGTATTGTTTCTTTGCATGGCTATGTAGAGACCTAATGAAAATTGAGTTTCATGATATGACAGAGCACTTCTTCCTTTCCCACATATTTTCTCTTTTAGCAATAGCTAGTATAGTTGTGGTGGTTTTATTTCCTAGGAGATCTATATTTATATCTATATTTGTAATTTGTTTCTTTTTCCCCCTCATTATTTCCCCTTAATACTTAATGCTTTGCAGGGCTCTAAATGTACCTAACAAAAATATAGGCTCACTAAATTCCAGCCATCTGGCTTGAAGATGTGTCAATGTGGTGGTGTAACTAATGGCAACAGGCATGCAGCGAGTCATACTGGAGAGGACATTTGGATATGGTTGAGCTCTGAAAGCTAATCAAGCCCAGCAGTTCTTATGTTAAGCTGAATGAGGTGATGAAAAGGGGCCTCCACTTTTGTAAATATCATAAAGGCAGAGGGCAGTATTGAGTAAAAGTGTGCTTAAACTTCCTTACTGGTTAATCTTTCAGTAACTAGTAAGCCATTGAAACTGGTAAGTCAGCAATAGCGTTCCCTACAACTCATTTGAAGACCCTGAAGAGTAGCTTCTTTTTGTGGCCTGGAATCTGGATTCATCTACAGAACTCTGGTGCAGTTCCATAGTAGCATATTCTTGAGTACCCAGTAGAAATTACTTTTCTTCTTGGAATGAACCTTTTGAGTTATCACCGTTGCTCTGGTGAGTGACAGCGTGGACCCAAAAACTAATCCAAAATTTTTGGTACAAGGCCTTTCTCTCTTTCAGCACCCACATGTGGCAGAGCATGTTGGCCCTATCCTACCAAGAACTCTTGTGTGGCTGCTTCTCTCTCTTCCATTCTCCATTAGCTGAACCATTTCTGCTCTTTTTTCCCTTTTATCTTCAGTGCCTGCACTGTTAAATGTCATCTTCAATTGCACTCAAAAATTTAAACCAGTGCTGCCTCATTACTCTTGTGTTTTTGTGTGCATTTCATGCATCTAGGCCTGTATGCTTGCTTTCAACATTCTTATATCATATTTCACATTGTCTCTTCCTCTAGCACATGCTAAATGTTATGATTACACGTCTGTCTGCAAATCAAAGTGAATGCATGTGTAAGCCTGCCTTCCTGCCTTCCTGCCTTCCTGCCTTCCTGCCTTCCTGCCTTCCTGCCTTCCTGCCTTCCTGCCTTCCTGCCTTCCTGCCT